CATATATTCTAACTTATATTTCTTTACTTCTTACCAAGTAGACTATTCCTTGGATTTATGGTTGTCTCTACTTTCATTAACTAGTTAGAATTACAAGTATATCATTATTTTAAACCCAGACTGTAAACTGTCAACACATCAAGAAAACTGCTATTGTAGATAAATGAAGTAGTTTCAGTTCATTTTCTTTCTTTAGCTACCTGGCTCTTGCAGGTAGTGGTAAATGTACCTAATGATAAAATTACAGCAATCAGTTTTTGAATGTTTCTTGACTGTGTTTAGGCCTTTTAGATATATAATCTAGTGTCGCAGACCTCAGTATCTTCTGATTACCAAAGAAGAACACTATCTAGATGCTATCATGCTATTCTTCTCCCATTCTGATCCCACTCATTTATGAATCTGCTCAAAAATCCACTTGGTGAAATCTCATGGTAAGATGTCCCATCATGAAAATTCTGATCTATACTCATGTTCTCAAAGATTAGGACTCCTTGGTTTGGTCTATAAGGACATGGCTTGAAAAATACCTCCTACCCAATTCTTCCCCATGCTTATAACCTGGGTCTTGAAACATGTCAGCTTGTATAAAGAGTCTCACAGATAATTTAAAAACTAATAGAATTTATTAATCATTAGCTAAACACTGTACTTTATATCTACATTTTCATATAATACATCCACTTCCTCTATGAGATATTTTCATCACTAGTTCAGAGATGGAAACACAGAGTTAGAGAGGTTAAATTGCCCCAATTAAACAAGTTTCCAAGAAATTACATCAGATTTCACTGTCACTCTTTTAATCATAATAACATAAATCCAGTTTAAGGGGCTTATTGTGTTTCATGTCCCATTCCATTCACTCAATCATGTTTCACTGCTACCACAACTTCAAAACCATTCCCAATTCCACCTCTTTGACTTTGCAACGAAACCTCCTCCTCTTATAAGAGGTTGGAAACAGGTCTATAAGGAAAGCTGCCCGAATTAAGACACATATATCTAGCTTATTTAGCCAAAAAAGACCCATTACATTTGCATTGTCCTATTATTCTAAACAAACTAATAAAGTAAATAATAGTATTTTACTTTTGTTTCAATTTTATATCTGAGGAACTGAACACTGAGCAGTATTAAACAACCTACCCAAGCTCACACAGAAATTGTGTGATTCTGAGCAGTGATTAGGAGCAGAGATTAAACTCATAACCAGGTTGTTATAATATTGCCTGCAGAAGGTCTTCAGGAAGTGAAATATAGAGAAAACAGAGTTTACATAAACTGGGCATCTCTAATATTTATTTAGAAGGAAACTTTACATGTTCTGCTATCAATTTGAACATAGGGACTTTTAATATTTGGAGATATGTGTTGAGACTCTCAAAATAGAGAGAGGTAACATGTAGAAATGAACAAGGAACCACTTAAATCAATCAGCAGAAATGTATCCATAAAAAAGTAATTTCATATTTATGTTCTATCATTGATTTTATAACTTCAGGCTTCTAGCAGGAAATGAGAGGAATGGCCTCTTTCATTTTCCTCTAGTGGCTTAGAAGTCCATGCCTAGCAACAAACCTTATACTCAATTTCTTCGGTAAATGACACCCTAGCTATAGCTTACTTTTCATATTAAAAGACATCTAATCTAGGTAAGGCTTGAACTCTCTCTAAGGAAAGCTGGCTTTATTTTACCATATACTTAAAAGAACATTTTAATGTTTCAAAATGGAATGAAAATCAGTGAGGAAGGAAATAGGATGAAATAGAAGCTATCTATTGAACCTGATATATTTATGAAAAAAGTTTATGGTACACTCATAATTATGAAATTAGGTCTTAATGAAATTTGCAAATGTTTACTATGTTAATTTACTTCATATAAAATTGAATTCTAGCATTTGTAGTTTTTAAGGTAGCAGATATAATTTTATGCGTTCCTCCTAAAATTACACAAAGGGAGAGGAAGATGATAAAAATTGAGTCTGAGATCAGGCTGTAATTTTTGGACTATAGAAGTTAATCACTTTTTAGGGACTATCTTCATTAAAAACAAATACTTTTTTACCCCAATATTTTTTAACACAGTAGGCTACTATCGTAAATCTGTTCATTTACTTGGGTTTCTTAAAAATTGGTAAAATAGTGTTATTTAGAGATGAGGCTACATCATCATTCCATACTTTTAGCCAGAAGTGGGCAATGGGAAGAGTGCTTATGACCCTTCCAAACTTCTTATCTTTAAATCCTTAATACCCAGTGTGATGATATTAGAAAGTGGGTTTTGGGGAGATGATTAGCTTGTGAGAGTTGAGTCCCACTGAATGGAATAGATTCATTATAAAAGGGATCCTTATAAAAGGGACCCCCAAAACTTCCTTGATCTCCTTTGCTGTGTGAAGATACAATGCTATTGGCTATATGAGATTAAAGAGGGTTTTATCAAAACCTGACCATTCAGATATTCTAATTTCAGACTACTGGCAACCAGATCTATGTAAAATAAATTTCGGTATTTCATAAGTGACCCAGTCTATACCATGTTGTTATAGCTGTCCCAACTGACTAGACAGGAATATGATTTGTAGCCATCCATGACAATGACTTGCACTTCTGATAATCTCCAGCATATGGAACATATATTATCTCATATTTATTCTTACAGCAAAATATTTGTAGATTATAATTTTATTAAATGAAGTGATCCACAAAATATTCTTGTGAAAAATACTTTTGTAAGAAACTGCATCCTTCATTAAAATAAATACATGAATTCTCAATGTTTTATCATGAGTAGAGAGAAAGAGTTAGACAGAGTTACTACAAAACTGTTACTTTTTTATTATGTTTTCTCTGCACTTTCTTAGCTCCCAGAAATACACTGCTTTTTAAAAATGGTTTGTATTCAAACATGACACAGTTTTTCATTGCTGTCATTAGCATAGCTGAAGTAGGAAGAAATTTTCAATGACTTTTACAAAATAATAAGTTGCATAAAAAAGGATATGAATATAGTATCTATAGCTTAAAAAAGATTTCTGATTCTAACATAATTGGTTGCGGACCATAGATACATAAGTGAGTGCAGCTGATCTTAGATTTCAGAAAAACTCTACAGCTAGCTCAAATCAAAATTATGATGCATAGAACAGTAAACTAAATAAATGATACTCATTTTAAGAACTAGATTTGTGAGTAATTTTTTAAATATTTATTTTTATTGATGCATACAAGAACTGGGGTGTAAGTCAGACGTACTTGGGAGTGAGAGGAACAGGCAGAGCTACTGAAATACATTGCTGAGAGGAACAGCAAGCGAGACAGGAAAGGTCTGCTGTGCCATCTGGGTTAGCTCCCTGGTTCAAATTCATGCTGCAGTGGCTACCCAAGGCTTGATTGTGCTGAGACTTAAACCCTTGTGCCACCAGGGAGCCCTGCTACCTAGGATGTTTTAAAAGCATGCAAATTAGACTTCCTCAAACACTGTAAGAACCCTCTCAAGTGATTCTAACATAGGGGCAGGGATGAGAACCAGGGGTCTGGAAGAAGTAGTGGGTGACCCTGAGACCCTTTCACTTGGACCACCTCCTCAACTCTAGAATCTAAGAAATAGATTTTGGGCCTCCCCGGTGGCGCAGCGGTAGAGCGCTGGGTTGCGAAGCTGCCCGCGGCCTCTGCGGCGCCGGTTCAATCCCCGGCTGCTCCCGGCCACCGGAGGAGGGTCCCACATGGCGCGCAGACCTCTCCTGCCGCCCGTTGCTCCCCTCAGCAGTGTACTTCGGTCCTTCTGCCTGCTCTGCTCCCGCTCTGGCTCTGGTGAATTCTCTCACCTCCCGTGCTTCTGACTGTACCCAGTGCATGTATAAAAAACAAACAAACAAGCAAAAACAAATAAATAAGAAAACATGCCTCTAAAAAAAAAAAAAAAAAAAGAAATAGATTTTGAAGACAAAAATATCAAATTGTTTTTAATCAATAAGTAAATCTTAATTTAGAATAAGATTTTAATATTAGTTCAGAAACAAAAATAATAAATGTTAGTCCTTTGATCAGGAGACAATGGGATCACATTAAATAGGTAGATAAATAATAATGAAATAGGAAAGGAAATTACCCAAGATTGAGAAAAACTGGCAGCAGATAAAGGCAATAATTCCTCAGTTTAAAGCAGGAAGAAATAAAAATAAACCATCAGCGGATGAATTAACAACCAGTAACATCCAGTATGAGAAATGTTGAGCTATACGCTTCAGAGTAGAATTAATTCCTTTTCTCAAAACATTATAAAAAAGACATTTCTGGTTAGAATACACAAACACAATTTGTACGAAACAAAGTGTTGTGTATTATAGGATATATTAAAGATAATAAATATCTTCAACACAGATAGATACATTAACTTTTGGAACACTAAGCAATGACTTGACTTTTGTTCATATGGAAGAATACAGCTTTAGAGTATACTTCAAAATCATTTGTTTCACTATTATATGATATTATATTTAAACATTATGTGTACTTACTCTTAGCAAATAATAACTGATAATCCATAAATGAAATTTTTGCCTAAAAGCTCCAGATAGAAGAGATAAAAGTGAATATTTTAGTATTAATTTTTAGGATCACCTACATGTTCCTTCATCCTGAGTTTCTCTTTCCATTTTCAAATTTGGCTATATACAATCTCCATGAAAATTGAAACAAATTCTCTAATATAGATGGAAACAAGTTCATCAGTGAACTTTTTTTTATTATGCTGTTGATTATGCCCAAAAGAATGTGATTTTAACATCTAACCCATCAAAGCTAAATGTACTTGTGAACTGCATCATATGCTTATAGAAAACTAGAAAATAAAAATACAACCTTTTAAAAAATTATCTTGCTACAAATAAAAGCACTTAGACTGGCAATACAAGTGACTGCTATAAAATGTATCTAAGTTTTAATGTGTTAATAAAAATGAGATGTTTTTCTCAGATGGAAGAGTGTAGTAATTTTAGTAATTCATAGCCCCCAAAGAGTATAACTCATATACTGATACTCTTGCCAAATGTCTTATTAATAAAAATTCAAGGTTGTGAAAATCTTTTTAAAATGAAATTTACTTTAATCAATAGGAAAATTTCTGAACATATTGCCACTTCTTGGTAAAAAAGTGAATGCAAACACTGCAAATTTGAGTTTAAATTGAAGACTGAAGGTCTTAACCCTAGCTGGCTAATTGGGCATGTTGGACATTTGCTTTATTGCCATGTTCTTTTTCACTCTGAATTTCTTCTTTAATGAAGACAAAATTCTTGACAACCACACTGCCCCAGAGATTAGATACGTAACAAAGAGGTCAAGTCGCTCTCTATATTTCTCCTAAATCCTCACTCTTTTAAATAGCATTATCTATACTTTATCCTCTCTGCGGTGACTTATTTCACCTACTAACCTTTCTCATTCATAGCATTATTATTTGGGTCACAATTCCTTGTAATCAGAGTATACATCTTATTAAAGATCAACTCTTTTTTTCTTTTTTTTTTTAATAGGTTGATTCTTAGATTTTCACAGCAGCAGGGACTGAAGGGCACCTTGAAGAGTCATTTAGTTCTTAACTCATGTCAAGGTTTTAAGACTTTAAAACCATCTCGGGAATTTGAAAATATTTCACTATTTACAGAGAGATTTTAGGGTTTTCTTAGCACTTCATTTTTATTACTGTGGTATACAGGTTTTCAACATCTAACCTAAGTAGATCTCTTCTGGTCTCTTGTGTATGCATTTATTCATTCAGCAAACACTTGTTCAACATTTACCAAATCCTAATACCTATGCTAGGAAGTAAGAACTCAAAGGTTGGAAAATACCGAAAAAAAAAAAAAAAAAAAATCCCTGACTTCCAGGTGCTCACGTCAAAAGGGCAAACAAGCAGATATGAGGTGTACACTGGGATCTTGGGGCATGAATTAAAGTTTTGCATGTTATAAGGATATGGAGAAAAAGAAGGAAACTGAAGAGGGATTGTATCCCAAAGGATGTAAACACTAAACCAAATTTTGAATTATCAGTAAATGTCAGAAAGTAGAGGGAATGATGCTTCAGGTGTCGGGTAGCCTGGGAAAATACGAGGCACAGGTCTCCTGCTGCAGGAAGCAAACTTGACTGACAGCTGTAGGTGCACCCACAGCCACACCCACAGGGAGGCTGTACTCCTGTAGCCTTGCTCCACCCCCAAAACCGTGAGCCATGGGGTATCTGTTCAGATCCATTCCTGTGGAATTAGGAATCTTTCAATGGACAGTTTTTGTTTCATTCCCTTGGCCTGATGAAGCTGTCTTAGAATTGTATTGCAGATTAAGAATCTTTGTTTCATGAACTCTTTTCTTTTCCCTCTCTTATCTCAGGTGTCAGACATTTTATCATAGACTACCTGATTTCTCTATTTCTTCTTCCTCCCCTTCATCTTTCACATTTGTTTCACACACAAAATACCTCTTTATTTTGTAGCCTGCTTCTTGGAAAAACCTGAATTAATACAGGTAATACTGAGAGGGATCCACAGACAACAGGGTTTAGGGACTGGCCAACTTGTTGCCCAGCAAAAGTAAAGGACAACATGCTGGGAGGTATTTTTTAAAGATTTATTTATTTATGCATACAAGAACTGGGTACAGGCCAGAGGCATGGAGGGTGAGAGAATTCACTGGAGATAGTGTGGGGAGCAGAACAGACAGACTGACTGAAATACACTGCTGAAGGGAGCAGTGGGTGAGACAGGAGAGGTCTACTGCACCATGTGGGTCACCTTTCTGGATGGCTGGAGATCGAACTCATGCTGCAGTGGCTGTAGATAGCTTCATAGTGCTGCGTCTTAACCCCTTGCACCACCATGGAGGCCCATCCTGGGAGCTATTTGGATACACATGGCCTGTAGAACAGGTAGTGGCCTAAGTGTTGAAGATCTCACTAGAGCTAACTTGGGAAAATGCACTGGGGTATGGGGAGCTTTGTGAAAATGCAAAGATTCAGGAATTTAAAAAATATGAAGGCAACAATTTTTATAAAGACCTCAGAGTTGTTGGGCCTCCCTGGTGGCACAGCGGTTGAGCGCCTGGTTGCGAAGCTGCCTGCAGCCTCTGCAGCACCGGTTCGATCCCTGGTCACCGTTGAGGGTCCCACATGGCACGCAGACCTCTCCTGCCGCCCGCTGCTCCCCTCAGCAGTGTACTTCGGTCCTTCTGCCTGCTCTGCTCCCTGCTCTGGCTCTGGTGAATTCTCTCACCCTCCCGTGCTTCTGACTGTACCCAGTGCTTGTATAAATAAATAAATAAATCTAAAAAAAAAAAAAAAAAGTTCAGTCTATAAAAAAAAAAAAAGAAAGAAATCTTAAAAAAAAAAAAAAGACCTCAGAGTTGGTTGGTTATTATTATACTGAATTGACTTCTTGCAGAGGGGCAAAGAGAAATTGAGGGGTAGTATTAAGCAGCAAAAGGCTAATCGTAAGAGCTAATTCTCTTTGGTAGCTTCCAAAAAGTTTTTCATCTTCTGCAATGGAATTGCAGTACCTTGTGACTTGTTATTTAGATTCACAGAGTTCCAAAGATGTCCAAATGTTCAAACAAGGCAGGTCCTTTTTGCTGAGATCAAGTCTCTGGAAAACATAGTACTCTGAAATATGGACTGGGGTCATCTGGATGGGCACCCCTGAGGATTTTGGCACTGAAGAACCTCCTGGACCACAGGACTTGCAGAGGAGAATCTCCCCAGTACGAGGTAGGATATCTATTGTGTTAGAGGACACTATTGCAATTTGTCCAATTCAAGGGCATGATGAACCTTCAGGAACTGTGTGAACTTCCTCCCCTGGCTGCCAGGCTGATAACTAGGGTTAAACCCCAAAATCATAGAGGAGATGATAGGCTTAAGAGTGGGAAGATGCAGGGCCTCCCGGGTGGCGTAGGCGGTTGAGCACAGTGCTGTGAAGCTGTCTGCAGCCTCTGCAGCACCAGTTCGATCCCGGCCGGCCGGCGAGGGTCCCATATGGCACGGCAGATCTCTCCTGTCTCGCCCGCTGCTCCCCTCAGCAGTGTATTTCGCCAGTCTGCCTGTTGTGTTCCCCGCTCTGTCTCTCACCCTCCTGCACATCTGTCCTGTACCCCGGTTCTTGTATAAATATAAATAAATAAATAAAAAAAAAAAAAAAAAAAAGAGTGGGAAGATGCAATACAATGAAGGGAATTGAGCTTTAGTTAGCATGTACTGAAAGGAACAAAGGGTGTGAGTCTAGGATTGAATTCTGAATGTGTTTTATCAGTGGGGTGAGATATAAGGTTAGGTAATCAAGAATCCATTCATTTGGGGCCACAGGATTTAACAGCCTGGAATTACCCTAGGATGTGAGGCAAATTTGCTGCTAGTGTAGCTCATAGCAACTGATGAAGCTATGCCCCATGCTGAGTAAAGTGGATATGCCTAAATTACACTAGCAGATGATAGAGGAATAAGTAAAGAGGTACAGGAATTGAGCATGCTAGAATAAATATATTATGTGTCTCCAGAAGACCAGCAGGAGTTTATTTTCCAAAAAAAGGCCTACAGGACATAGCACTCACCAAAGATTCAATTTTCACTGAGAATAGAGGAACCAACGTTTTCAGGTAGTTCAGTAGTGACTGCCCTCTACAGACCAGGCATGATAATAGGGGAGTCAATCATGGAACTCTGACATTGATGGGGATAACACCTCCCTCCCAAGATTAGAGGAAAGGTAGCAGTGCTTGACTTACAGAGTTAAGCAGGAGATTTCAATTAATGTAATGACCTACAAAGTTGCACAAGGAACCAAAGGCACTTGACTCAAAGGGAGTATTGGAGATACCCAACAGAGCAAGATATTTTGGGGACAATCTCATTAGGAAACTGAAAATGATGCTGAACATGTACAACAAATAAAAGCAAGAATGGAAGAACACATGCTAAGGATGGTCACTCCAAAAAGACAGCATACTGCCTTCATACCTCCAGGATTAGTGGGCCTAATAGAGCACCATGATGGGTTTCTAAAAGGATAGATGAAGTAACAGTTTGGAGGCAATACTCTGAAAAGTACTGATGGGAAGCTATTATTTTGGATGTGATACATGAGTTAAATCAGACACATCTATAGGCATTTCATCCCCAAAAGAACTTGTACAATGATTCCAGGAACTAAGAGGTGGAAGCAGGAATGGTCTCACTTAATGCCCTTCCCAGTAATATGTTTTTTTGGTGATTCTTCTAGTCATAACCCTGTTCTTCGGTGTTGGAGAACTTGGTTTCCAACAAGTTTCTTACCGACCTACAAGATATGGATGTTTCTAAGGCACTTTAGATTACCTGCAAGGAGAGTAACTCTTATCCAACTGATAGGGGTAAATGACACCTCTGGGACATGTGGAACATCAACAGGTGATGAAATTGTACTCTGTTCAGTACCTCATGAATGAAAATTTGAATCACACAAATCACATAAATCACTGCAGGGCCTCCTCCAGTGATAGGAAAGGGTGATGGGAATTTAGTAGAAGACATGCTGAAGGGAGGAGATCAATACAAGTTATAGTCTTTAAATCAACTTTAGCAATGGGGTCTTCAGTTTGTTCCACCACTGCTATTTCAAAGTTCTTATTAAAGCCCATGGTAACAGAGTAGCAATAAAGAAACTAATTCCTGAAAGAACTATGACATATATTTGTGCAGTATAAGGCACAGACTGTGGCACCCATAGAATGCACTACTCAAATCTCCCACTCTGTTGGATCTACCTCTACGTACATGCAAGTGCTATGATTCCCCTGTCTTACTTTTAAACCAGTGTTAGAGCATTATAAGGGTACCAGTGCATGTTTTTCCTTCATGAGGGCCACTGGACTCCTTTAATAGATGTCTTTGGCTCAACATTACCCCATCAGGTTGGTTGAAATTTGCATGGATTATATTGTGACTGAGAATACCTCTGCTCAGTTCTTCCCTACCTCCCTCTTTTCACAGATGCCAGACCTGAATACTCAAGAGCCACCTACTGCATGCACCGTCTCCTTTTCATCTGTATTAGGCGTTTGCTCCAATAAATATTTTTATACCTAGTTTCATGTTGGAAACTGCTTCTCATAGGACCAAGGAGGCAAAACACAGCCTGTTTAAAGAAGTCAATGTTTTCTCTGACAATAACACTGGGTACAAGTGGGTATACAGTAGAGCATGAATTGTAAAGAGATAAAGCACAATGAGTGGGAAGTGGCTGATTATAAGATTTGTTTTGTCTTGTCACACTGAAAAGTTACATATTCTTAAAGGAGATTGGGGGACCATTAAAATGGATTGCTAGATAAAGTTTATATTTTAGGAGAGTATCTCAGTTTTGTCAAAGAAGGAACATAGGTACATAAAATTTAGAAAAGAGGATAGTCTACACCTACTGAAATTGTTAGGATGGTGAGAAATAGATGAATTTAACAGATCTTACATAATAATCAACAATGAAGGGCCTCCCTGATGGTGCAGGGGTTAAAGACAGCACTATCAAGCTATCTCCCGCCACTGTAGCATGTGTTCGATCCTAGGCTAGCCAGGGAGCTAACCCACATGGCACACACAGCAGCTCTCTCCTGCCTCGCCCGCTGCTCCCCTCAGCAGTGTGTTCTGTTCCCCACTCTGTCTCTGGTGAATCCTCTCACTCCCCACACCTCTTACACCCCAGTTCTTGTATGCATAAATAAGTAAATCTTTTTAAAAAACAATGACTGATTTGATCAATTACAGAATATGAAATGGATGAGAAGAAGCTGACAAGGAAAATCATGAATTCATATGAACAAAGCACAGTGAAGATAGTGAATATGGAAGCTTGAACAGGAGATAAACTGTACCAGATGAACTTGTGTACTGGGGGAAAATTCAAGTAGTGTTATGTAAGAAAGAGTTGAACTGGGGAAAAAAGAGAACAAGGAAGCAGAAGGGGTGTGTGTGCGTGTGTGTGTGTGTGTGTGTGTGTGTGTGTGGAGAGAGAGAGAAAGAGAAAGAAAGAGAGAGAGAAGGAGGGAAGGAGGGAGGGAGGGAGGAGATAAAGATACAGTATACATTAAATTATATATAATAAATAATCTCAGAGTCCTTAAGATTACCCATGGAGGATATAGTGAGTGGCAAGAAAAGTCAACTGAGAAAAGGAACAAGTTATATCACCTCCATTTTGGTAAATATTCCCTGGAACCTCTTCTCAAAGTTTCAATTTGTAGTCTTCCTCTTCATATTAGGATGCTGATATAAGAAAATCATTTTATTGGAGGCAATATCAACTAATGCTTAAAGAATAATATTTGGAGTAGGGGACATTTGGGTTTCAGTTCTGGTTTTACCACTGTGTGTCTTCATGACATTTAAGGTTTTGTCTCAGTCCCTTCAACTGTGAAATGGGGAGACTCACATCTTGCAGGGTATTAATAAGTATCTCTGTGTGTATATGTATGATATATATATATGATATATATGATTTATATCGCATAACATACATAATAATATGCATATAATATATATGTATAATGTACATATAATATTTATAAAATCAACAGCACACATCACATTCTTGTTTTGTGGAAGTAATATATTCTTGATTTTCTAAGTGTCCTATCTAGATCTTTTTATATATACCTAGCCAGCAGGCAAGCTGTTGACATGTTCACTGAAATATCTGTTTATTCTGGTTTATATATTCTTTTGTTTATTTTGGTTTTATATTTCATTTTATAGGTTTATAGAATTACAGGATCACCAGATTCCTATAATGTTCCAGAGTTCCACTTGTTCTAGAGTGTTCCAATTGTCGCTTTTGTTACTGCTGGATTAATTATGAGCAAACCAATGTTAAATTATTTAAATGCTGAATGTCTGGAGTGACTTGCATTCATTTTATTTAAGGGTGTCTTTAGGTTCTTATATTCTTCAAAGAAATCGATATCAGATATTTAATCAAAATCTTAGATTGTGGTAGAGTAAGATTAAGGCATATTCAAAAAAACACTTTGTGAAAGATTGTGTCTGAATGAAAGTTCATAATTTTAAAGTTAAAATGAATCTTAAATGATTTCCAGATGGATTATGTGGTGATGTGACTTTTTGAACTGTTGACTAAATACCAATAGTATCACATTAGAAATGTGTACTAAAATAGCAGACAAAATTTGGCAATTATAAACAATGTTGCAGCTATTATACTGATCTATATTTTCACATGCATATTCTTTATATCTTTATATTATTTTAGGGATTCTTGTATAATCAGTGTATATACCTTTAAATATGAGGAAGTGCATTGCTACACAAAGAGAGAACTGAACCATTACCTAGAAGTATCATTACCACCTGTGAGCTAGTTAGAAATGCAGCATCTCAGTTCCTCCCACACCTACTGAATCAGAATCTGCATTTTAACAAGGTCCCCAGCTGATTTTTATGCTCATTAAAGTCTGTGCAAGTAGATAGGAAAGAAGATCAAATTGAGAATCATTATACCTCATTCTAGAACCGCTTTTTTTCTTATTATATGTTTTATGATGAAAATCATACTTCAAGTCTTGGAAGCTACGGCATAATATACACAAGTAAAAAAGCTCAGGGAAGAACAATGAGTAGCATTTCGTGTTAAATACTTGCATGAATATCCACATACGTGGGAATAAAAAAAGTACTGAATAACTCTTCTGGGGGAAAAGGCAAATTGAAAATAATTGGCATGG